ACAGACACACCTTATTCATGACCTACACAACTGCTGGCGAACAGGTAAGTCTTTTGACAATGCCCTTTGCTTCAGGATGTGCCCGTTGGTAGAGAACTTGGACTCTTGACCTGCTTTTCACGTTTCTGAGCCCTGGCGAGATACCTTTTCAGGCTGCTTTACTTTTACATGGCCCACGTTGCTTAGTTACAAGGCCTGAGGCCTACATTGGGTGAAAAAGGCCCTTTCATAAAATAGGATAGCTCAGGCAGGGGTGAGGGGTGGTATATCCGTCCCAAGGGAAGTAATCAATGCCGCCCACTCGGGCCTCTCAACCGGAATGGGGAGGAGCGTGTGTGAGCGGTTATTGTATTCAATTTTGACTTGCCGGGGGAATAGGAACCGGACTGTTGCTCCCCAGAATGGTAGGAGCCGGAACCAAGTGGTTCTGAACTCAAAAAAAAAAAAAAAAAAGCACCTTGGGAAAAAAGCAGGCTCAGAAGTGCTGGTGGTTTAAGCCACCAGTACTTGGCCCATGCATTGGCCGCGGGCGTTTCATGTTAGCGAGCCGCGACCTGCGGGCTTCGGGGTAGCGGAGCCCCCAATTTCAATGAACCTCCTAGTTGAACACCAGTGAGTGCAAATATTCACGCCACATGCATGTACGAGTTCACACGGGATTCACACTGGAGACCAGAGAGATGAAGAGCAGGCAGCGCAGCTTATCATTTCCAGAAAGTATTACGAGAGCAATAAGAGTTCAAGTCACCAGCACTCGTCAGTGCGCGCCCAAAGGTAACCAATAATCAGCATAAGCTCTCAGGTAAGTATCTTCTTCCCTCTGCTCTTCTCTGTTATGTAACTCTCTCCACCTTGCTGGTCTTCTCCCTAGCTTATGACCTCGCTGTATCTTCTCTCCCTACATGCATGCACACACACACTGACTTCTACTCAAAGATCTACTCTGAATACACCCACTGTCAATTCTACTAACCCCTCTGGAGTCCACTACTAACAACTAGCACTAACACTTCTGCACTGGCGCAGCTATGGCTGCCTTCTCCCTGCCAGCGCTATCTTCCTCTCTCTCCCTCACATAGCGCAGCACTCTGACCTAAGCGCTCTGCTCCTCACTTCAGCGCACAAGTGCACCAGCACTTCCACACTTCTTGCGAATGAGCAATCTGCCCGAATGTGAGGCTGGCCAGTCCTTTTGTAGTCTTGGTTTGCACTTCAACTCGTGCCAGCCTCTGGCCCCTGCGGTTGGGCAAAACTTGGCCTGCAAGGGGTTTCCTGGTACGGCATCGATAACTCGGCCAAGTACCAATGGTTTAAGCTTATCGGCGACAAACTGTTCTAATGCATCGTACTCGGACATTTATGGCATTTGTTTTTTGAACTTTTTTGAACTTTTTTGAACTTTTTTGAACTTTTTTGGGCTCGCTTCACAGGTTTGAATTACCGGCACAGGAATGCACAGATGGCGGGCAGAGCATCTGTTGAGCTCCACACGGTGATCTTTTTTAAGAACAGGTGCGTACATGAGCCTTCAATTTTTTTATTTTTTTATTTTTTTATTTTGAATTTTCTTTTGGAGCAAGCTTGCCCATTCGACACCTCCATGGGCCAGGAAAAAGTAATTTATGGATCACGGATATAAGATATTAATCTGATCAGAACAGAATCAACAGGTACTATACTTGGATCTTACTTGGCCAAAAATGGTCAGGAAGGAGGATATCAAGGTTGGCCCCACTTCGTGGAGGGGATTTTATTTTATTTATTTTTCCCCCCATAGAGCAAGGCTGGGCTGCAACTGGCCGGTTCACTTCCCCCGGTCCACCCGGTGCCGGACCAGCCCTGGGGGGTGAACCGGGAAACCGGTTTTTTTAAAAGATGCCCAATTTTTTATAAATTTATAAGTATTTTTTTGGCGGATTCAGATTGCGCTCATCCAGATCTGTTGATATCCGCAATACAATACTGAATCTGGTATTGTTTGGCGAGGGGGCTTTTCACGGGGGGG